CACACACACACACACACACACACACACACACACACACGGGGGCACGCACAACCCCCCGTCAGGCACCCGCAGCTGCAGGCCATCATGGGCATGTAATCCTCCACTAGTACAGCTCCTGCCACACCTGAGGTGTGTGACACAGTTAACTGGTAAATCCCACAATAAACGTAGAGGGCCATAATTATGACATAATGATAACAAGTTTGCGACTATACAGCGTCAACCAGCTACAGAGTTAGTTCTTGACAGTAAGTGACAACTCCAGAGCTGGTTTCTACCCAGTTTTAATTTGAATGTGGACCAGGGCCCTAAGGGACAGACCATGCCACCCCCTGGCATCTACAGCCCCAGCTACCACAGCCCAGCATTCGGCTGGGACCCGGACTGGCTGCCTATTGCCCCAAGAGAGTCAGCACATACACGGCTAAATTCACTACTTCTTCCCTCCCTCCACACCCCCGCCCCAATGTAATTATTCTGCATTTACAGATTATTTTCCCCCTTATGTACTTACAACACGAGTAGAATCCTATCTTAACATTTGTAGGCCTTGTAGCACTTGTATTTTTGAGGAAAAATGCAACATCCTCTTATAATAGGTTTGTTTGCTGCTTTTGCTTTGGGTTTATTACAATATTTGAAAGATTCTTTTGCCCCCTCCGCTCTAGTACAGTTCAGTGAAGCTTTTGTTTAGGAATGTCTTCACATTTTCAAATGTATTTAAAAATTTCTCAGCAAGAGGAGTTGCTATCCTATGGCCTGTGGATTGGATTTGGCCTGCAAAGAGGTCCAGTCTGACACTGGGGATTGATTTGGCCACCCATTACCTCTGCAGCGTTCACTCCTCTGTGGACCCTTCTGCTTCTCTCTTTGCAGAGGCGGATGGGGATCAGTGGGGAGGGTAGGTGCAGGAGGCCGGCTGCTCCAAGGGACAAAGACCTGTGGCTTGTCATAGGGGCTGGGTCACAGTGGGCAGCTAGACCCACAGGTTTCCATCTGGCTTTCCTGCCTCTGTACCTGGTGGTCCTTTTCCTCATGCTCCTTCACTGAAAGTGCAGTTTGCATTTGGTACATTCATAATTCTCATAAAGATCATGGCTGTATCCAGATGAGCGCGGCCATGCGGTCAATGTGGCGTGGCAGGTACCAAGTACCGCACGTTCAGATGTTCTCAGCGCTGCTGCAAGGTAGCAGCACAGGGGGTGCAAAAAAACGTGGGGTGGTGCATGCAAAGACAGCACATGCCACCTGAAACTGGAGCCTGGCTGGCTAGAGCCACACTCCACTGCCAGGCAGGCTCCAAGCACCAGGATCGCTGCTGCTGCAGCCCCAGGAGGCCCCTAGGACCCTAGGTATGGCTGCTGGGGCCAGCCCAGAGCACAGGTGTCCCCCAGTCTCCCGTGCATAGGTGTTCCCCAGGGACAACTAGCAGTGGCACAAGGTGTGCTGCTGCTTCTTGTCCCCAGGGAAACAAACGTCCATGGCCACGTGGATGCGGCCCATGTGTATAAATTTGAAACGTGACATATGGATACAATAGGTATACTTCAAAATCTGCGTATGTACCTTGAAAATAGACATTTGATATACATTACAAAACTTTTACTTCATCTATATTCTATTAAAGGGATTTAGCTGCAGATTTTGGGAAATAGGAAGTTTGTCAAGAGACGGATCACATGCTTAAATGCTCACATGAATACATAACAATGAATTACTATGTTCAGAGAGAAGGGAAGAGTGAAGCCTTATTAGTAGTGAAGAAGGCTATTGTCAACCATTTTGACCTGACCAACTAGCCAATATTCAAGATCTTACAGATCGTTTCCATTAGCAAGAGAAATTTACAATGGTATCCCTTATTTTTTGATGCAATAATGATTATTTACTTAAAATGTATATAACATCCTGTTTTTCTGAGAGCAGGAGCAATTAAACAGCAAGGGATAGTTCCTTTGCTTGTAGTTCCAAGGCTCTTTCAGGCAGCACTCTACTCAAAAAGCACTCTTTCTGTCTCTGTGGGCTTTTTGCTCTGGCCCATGCTCCCAGAGCCCATTTGGGCTGGCAATTTTGCTTCCTTATGATGCCTTATCCACTTGCCTGGTGTTTCTGCTGCTTCTCTTAATATGTACAGGCAGCTCCAGCAAAACAATACCCAGTTCCACAATGAAACATCTCTTCCCAGTTTTCATTCCTGTTTGACATTACATACAGTTTGTAATTTATTCTGAAAGTTATCTCATTCCATGAGAAATTAATTGTTTTCAGACATTCATCCTGAATGAAGGGTGATTTCAAGGAGAATTCACCTAAGTCCCAGAATAACACCACCCTCTCCCTTAGCTCTGCCCATCCTCTTGAAGACTCCAAAACAATGTCCTGTAAAAAAAAGAAAAAGAAAGAATTTACAAATTACAAATGATATCAACTGAACTATCAGGATACTTCCTATCACAACCCAAACTGATTTTACTTCTATCCAACCTCTTTGGGCAGGAAGAGGGAAATTCCAATTTCCTTGCAACTGTTCAGGACAGACCATTTTCAACGAACCCCCTGGAATATACCTACTTTTTTTCTGTGAAATCGACTGGTTGTCACAGCCTGCACATTTTGTTACACTAGAACAACCACTTCTGTCACAAGCCTTCCAGTCTCAAATTCCACAACTAAATTTGCAGTTGCTTAGTAGTGTAGCCACCCTGAAATTTTGACCCTCTGATATAGTGGTTCTCAGATGTTTTGAGCTGAGCCGCCCTTTGAGTTACAATTTTGTTTGCACCCTCCCCCCGCTTTACCCCAGAGGAGCAGCTCAGCCAGGCACAGAGCTCCCCTCATCCTAGTAGCCACCACAGCTCGGCGGGGCTCAGCGGGGCAGGTTCCACCCACAATGGCTCCAGCACCTCCTGCCCTTGGCCCCGCTGCAGCTCGAGGCTGCATGCCTGCCATGCCAGGCTCCCAGAGGCACAACTGCCTGCTAGTAGAGCCTGCCTGGGGCTCCCCGTCCCTGTACCCCGCCTGCGAGGCTGCAGCAGCGCCGACTCCTTGCAAACTTCTTGTCTGTGTCCCCCTAATGTTCCTTCACCCCCCC